ATTATTTTTCTTTTTTTCTTCTATAGAATTTTTTGCAGAACTGGACAAAGTTATGGGCCCTCTGATCTTTAATGCAAGTGTTATGACAGACCTGGTACATTACACCAGGCAGGGATTACATTGGTTGCGTTTGGATGCCAAGTGATAACTGGATTGAAGAAATCTATAGCGTCATGAGAGGCTTGGCTGCCTCTGTTTTTTTTCAACACTGTGTCAATTAAAAAAAATAAATAAGGAAGACTGCCATAATGAAAGCAAAGAAAGTGAAAGAGAAAGGAACACTTTCCTGTGTCTCCCAGCATCATATGTGTAAGAATCTCCAAACATTGTGTTAATGAACTTTTTCAGCTGACCCCATTTTTTTAAAAAAAATATTTAAAAATAGTTTAAACTCTGCAATGTTTTAATGTAAGATGGATTCACTGATTTGCAATTGGATTGGAATTCTATTAATTATGCCTAACAAATCTGTTTTAAAACTTATTTATTTTAATTTGTTTTTAAAAGCTGTGTGTTTGGGGCTGGTTTAAAACTTAGCTGTTTTTCCTATGAATTTTACCTAATCAAGTACTTAGTGAAGATTAAATGTAGACACTTTATTTAAGTATTTTGTGAGCTTTGTTATTCTGTAATGTCTTGTGATGGTGGAGCTTGTAAGAGAAAGTCAGGGTTGATAGATTCTAAAGTGTAGACACATTTTCATGCATATTTAAGTCAACCCTTAACGATGGCCACAGTTTTATTGATGTGCTAAGTTCCAAGGTTATAACTTGATCATCAATTAAATCATTTTAAGTCAAAATATTCAAGTATTTGTATGGAAAATCAGTTTCGAAACACATGTCTTAACACTAATAATCTCAGTACGTTACAAAATATTGCATTTAATGCAATATTCAAAGTGATGTGAGTCACAATGGACTTCAGTCTCCAAGTATAAAATAGGAATGGTTTCAGATGGACAATCTCGTACTTTGGTGCAGCCTCTTTTATTTCCTTGCTTGTAATTGTTAGACACCAAAGCTTCTAACAGTAGTAATTCCTATGTGAAACTGATGTGCTTCATCAGAAAACGTGATGTGTGACAAACATCTGTCTTTGTCGGAATTATGTAATGGGACAACACGGGGTAGAGAATAGACCTGTGATTACAGGGACATTTTAAACTGTTTGGTCCAATTAATTTGAAATTTTGCTTTTATGCCATTCTGTGGCACATTCATTAATGTTAAATGTTTGTGATGGGAACAGAGTATTTAGTTATAATGAAATAACTGTGATCAGCAAGAATCATGCATGGAAATCTGCTTTAAGGTTAATAAGCAAGGTACCTTTTCATAGGAGGTGCTTATCTGACTAAAAGAAAAAAATACTGCTTTAGCGTCCCTATCATGTCTGGTGTGCCTTATGCCTTTTTAGATGAAGATTTTAAATACTGTTTACAAGACGTTTTACACTTAGGACCTGGTATCCAGTCAGTCTCCAGCAGTAAAATTGTACTTCCTTTTCCTAATTCTAGTGGCTGTCGTTTGTTGACAATTCATGTGGCTTGTGCTTTAGAGTCAGACTCTAAACTCTTTCGGTGTGGAATTGTGATATGCTGCTTTGCCTGCCCTTTTTCCTAAAACCCACCCAGATGTGAACATGCATGTTCAAGAAAACAATTGCACTAAAATTATGTCTAGCTGTATAGCTATGTGCCAAAATGATGGCGAGTTTTGAAAGAAGGATGGAATTTTACATCAATTAGTATTGCGGTATCTTTGGGACAGTAGCTTCATCAATTATAACGACTAAGTAACAGTTTGTATATTTATAGAGACTTGTATCCTGATGTGATACATGGTTTCTTTTAAACCCTGATACTTTGGATCTGTTAGGTTGAAGTTGCTAATCACTTGGTTTGTATTCAAAATCATTATAGCTTACTGTTGCACCCTGCAGCACAAGAATGCGTTGTGAGAGCAGAAGAAAAACATGTAGACACACCCATACAGCATTTTTTGTTTGTATAAAACAGTATATTGTGATTTTGCCATGTAAGTGATTGAATTATCACTGTAAATTTACTATGTGCAAAATCACTTTAGCTAATCAATAATGGGAAAACCCATCTGTTTATAATGAATTTGCAACATACTAGTGTTCCACATACTTGTGTTCCTTTCAGTCGGTGTGAGCAGCTGTCTTGGAGAAGCTTTTTTAAATCACTCCTTAGCAAATAATTCATTGTATTTACTCTCAACACAGAGATTAAAGAGTGAAAGAAATATTTTTAGCGGGCTTTCAGTGTTTATTTCATGTGAGTTGCTTGAGTAAAAATATCAATTGTGAAAAGCAATTTTAAAATATATGCATTTTCATAAAACCATAGATTCAAGAGCACAGATTCCTGCTAGTATCAAATAATAAATAGCTAATTTTCCACGACTAATTTTCCTGCTAATATCAAAAGTCAACATCCTTGACATTTGAAAGTGCCTGACACATTTATTATAGTGAAATCTTTACATTATCCCAGAGTGGATTATAGGCTCTCTTCTTATAAGGTGCTGCAGTGATCATTGGACTAGTTTGCTTCCTTTTGTATCCATTTAACATAGACTGGCAGTGAGAAAATGTCTCTTTTCTATCTATTGTTTTTAAAACTAGAATAGTATATATCAGACTGATTTTTTTATATATCTCCAGATACTTCCTAAGTATTTGTCTCTCTATTAATTTAGCAAGGCTTCTCTAGATTTAAATGTAGACTTAAGCTGCAATGAATTATCTGTTGCAATAGCTGTCTCATGGAGGTCTTATTTGGGTGTCCTAAATAAACCGATGGTTTATTTATAATAAATTGTTCCTTTTCCAATTTAAGGATCAGTCGAGTTTTCAAACAATTGAAATCAAATTATCAACTTTTAAAATACCATCTAACTTTAGAGTTCAATTGTCTCAGGAGTGCATGAGTAATTTGCCAAAGTTAATTGTTAAGTGCAAGAACGTAATAAACTTTTTAAAGTTCAAAGGAAAGTGACTATCCTTAATCTGCCTTTTATTGAGTTGGACTTAATCTGTGCTGAACTCATTGCGTGTACATCATGACCACTAACAGAAATTGTTCAATAATTTCCGTTTAAAAACTCTGGAATATTATATATTATCAAGTCCATGACTGCGTATTAACACATATCAGTGTTTTAATATATCCCAATGATGCGTCTTTATAAGATGGCTTAATACTTTCCATCTGAGTGAGCAAAATGAATTGCTTCATCACACACATAATTTCGATTTCCTCCCCTGCCCTCCAATTGCTGAGTTTTAGGAGAACAATTCATGAATGGTAGCATGAAATCCACTAGAGATCTTGAAATGTTTTGCCAGAGTGCTGGCAATGAGTTTAGTTATAAAAGTTTCATTTTGGGGGTTAGGAATAGGTTAGCAGACAGTTGTACATTCCAGACTAAGATGATGTGGCAGATTTAGTCTAGGACCCAGTGATTTTGTAGATATGTGGCTACGTCATTTTGTATCTTAAATGAATATCCACTTACTAGACTAAGTGACCCAACGTGTTCAAATACAATTTAAGTCTCTTATCTGTAAAGAAGAGCAAATGGTGGTAGACCTTTTGATGGCAGTATGCAATTTGTAATATACGTGTTTCTAATACTATATCTACATGCATAAACAGATGAAATCAAGCCCGTTCAAAGTTTGTTATATCTGTCTTAGATTATAGTACATCTAACTACATCAGAATATCTATTGAGTGTTGAGCCATCCTCATTTTGATGATGGTGATAAATTTCACATTTTATGCAAGAATGCTTTCAGTGTCTTTTAGATTGTCGAAGCTTGATTACTATGATTTTATACAAAACAACTTCTGTAAGAGTGTTATGAAGCAGGTGCAGCCATATGGAGCCAATAGGTATATTTGCTTGCCTAAGGCAAGTAAGTCACAGCTGCAGCAGATAACTGTATAGTTTGCCAAATTTGGCAGTTTATAGGAAATGCTACCTTTGCTATGTATAATTCCTTGCACTGTATTCAACTCTGCAGTATTTTTATTAAAATGGTTTAAAGGGGCCTGAGGAAATCAAGTTGAATACATTTTACTAATGGAAGGAGAAAGCAACATCCAAATCATAGGATTGAGAGTCTTGAATAGCAAATATTTCATAAATATTTGGGTCAAGACATAATAATTTTAAATTGAGCAAGAAATCAGTATTGTGGGAAATTTGAGTTTCCAATAGTTCAACAGTATATACTTTACTAGTGAACACTATTATGCAACTTCATTTTCCCCCAGGCTGTAACAAGCACAGCTTAGTTGTACAATACAAAGTGTGGTGATCTGTTTAATTCTTTTAGATAAGTTCTGTCTATTTATGGCATTTTATAATAAATAAATTACTAATAAATCTCACTGGAGTGAGGCTATCCTGGAAATGCAAGCATTTTCACGAAATGCTTTCATGTCCTCCACATTTACTGATTGATCCAAGTTCTGAATAAATTCAGTTCATTTGTACCACCGCTTCCGCTTAGAAACTTGTTGTAATTATTGAAATGTTGGCTTTGCTTCTTGGTTCTATTTAAAAACCTATTGGCAAAGCGTTTTGTTTCTGATAATGTGACTGCAAAAATAGAATTGATGCTGGCATATTGGATTCAAAACCATTTTCTCTGTCTTAGTGAAGAAATAACATCAAAACTGCAGCCACTGTCCCATGATTACATTCAAATGCCTGAAAACGTGGCTGCATGGCCCAGGCATAGTCTCTGCAAGCACATTTGTATCAAACCCCCCTTTTAAATGGTTTTAAGAAGTTTTGTATATGGAGGATAAAGTGCTTATATATTTATTAAAGATTCTTTATCTTATTTGAAATTATTTGGTAAAGACAGTTTTCTTTTAGTTTGGGCAAACGTATGGGATGGGGGTGGGAGAGAGGTTATTTGTACCCTTTTATCTTTTTTTAAAATCTTTCTTTAAAGAAAAAATAACCTTGAACATGCATCTTGGTACTGGTTACGATTGGCAGTATGGCTGTCTGTTGTGTGCATTGTACATGCTATGTCCATGACTTACATTTTTTTTACTTACTATTTAGTCATCTGTTCTCAACCAAAACTAAACATAAAACTGTGATTTTTCTTCTTTTCCTTTCCTTTGCAATACATTTGAAATTTCAAAAGGGTACTTTGGGGCTCCAAATTAGGATTTCTAAGCAGTATGTGCATTTCACGTATGTTAATGGTGAGCAAAGTATTATATACTAACCAGATTTTTTTCCACATCTGTATAGTATATTCTATGTATTTTGTGGTATTGAGATTATAGAAAGTTTAGTGTCTGAAATATGCGTTTAATGTGTATTTTTAAACAAATTTATGGCAATTAAATATTTGGAGAAAAGGGTATCGCATTTCAATTTGTAAAAAATCTTTTTAACTACTGTGTCATTAAAATGCTTTGTACAATGCAGAACTGTAACTGGAGAAACTAAGTTTAATAAATATCAAATAGATTTTCTGTATTAAACTTTATAAGCACTGTGCTTGAATTAATCCTTTAGTATGAGCCTTTCTGCCATGGCACTGCACATTAGATCAGAAAAATCTTTTGTTTTCAGAATGGGAGCAATTGTGAGCTGTCCTCTCAATTTCCTGAACACAGAATAGTGGGAAAGCGACAGGACTTCCTACAATTATCATTGAAATATTTTCATTAAGCTGACAGCAGCATTACCCACTACGCAATGAAAGTTTGAAAGCCATAGGAAAAATTAAAAAGGGAAAAAACCTGGTAGAGTGTTGGAATTGGTGGTATTTAGATGCCTATTGTTAATAAGTGCTTCATTAAGACTGGAAACTGCTTGAAAACGTCTAGCACTATTCATGGTTAGATAGAGTCAAAATCTTATCACTTTTTGCTCAGAAGAGTCATCTGTCTCAGCATATTTTCAGTGTGTCTTAATTCTTTCTCTTTTGACTGGTATGCAAGACAAATATCAAACTCTGGTTGCTCTTACAAGTATTTACTTTTTTTGCACAGAAAAAAAATACAAATAACAGATAAAATCAATTAAACCTACCGTAGTTTGGATAAAAGCCCATCTTGGTACAAGATGGAAAATATAAACTAAATTAGCATATATTTCTGTCAAGTTGAAATTCTTTCATTTGTCCATACAATTGAAGCATCAATTGAAAAGCTTTATATATATATTAGGAGAGGTGACAATAAATAAAGGGGAGCATCATCCAAGGTAACAGCTTGTTCTTCTTAAGACATAATTATTCTTGCAATATTCTTAAAGAACATTGTTTGTTCCTGCAAAATAAAACGAAAAATCAGTCTGATT